AGCCAAAATTAATTAGTAAGTTTTTGAGTTATAAGCCAAGTCCTTAGGTGTGGAATTATTTTTGTCACCCACCTGTAAGGTAAGCACTTCCTGAACATTAAATAATTATTCATATTAATTTATTGGACTATATCGAATCCTGAAAGGAAAACCTTCACCATACCTGAATTAGTTCAGTCTTTGAACAGATAACAGAAATTATATATATACCAGTCGTTTAGATAATTCTTGTTGACAAATCAAATTTTTCGGTGGCCTATTATGATAAGGCATAAGTTAATGAATCAATTTACAGTTTTCTTTTCGCGTAACTTTTTCATTGGATAAACTATTCAAGCACTTAACGTTTTATAATATGTAATAATTTAATTGATAAGAATAACAACCATTTATTAATTGATTGATTTGATTAGTCACTCAATCCCACACCATTCTAATGTTTCATTCCCAGATTTGAATTTAGATTCACAAAACAGACATAATTAATTAAGTAAAATATTAATCTCATAACGTAGCTTATTTTAAATTATTTTATTTCTATCGAACACTTCGCTGAAATGACCTAATCAAATCCTCTTCACCATAAAATATATTAAAATTCCTCAACGTAATCATCGACATCATTATTTCACTTGTGCTCTTCAATCTGCTGTTATAATTTGCACATTTCCTATTTTCTTTATTTTTCTCACTGTAAATAAGCTAACATATATAGTTTTGAGTTGGTCATGTACCTTAAAATCAGTATTCTTTATATAAATTCTGGGTCAACTGATAAAATTTAATCGAGTCATTCGATAATTTTTGATTTCGGCACGATCAATATATCCCTATAAAAAATTAAATTTAGTTTTTGTTTTATATTTGTGTAATAATTGTATATATTTTGAGTAATAATTGTTTGAAAAAGTGTCATTTTGTCTAATTTGGTCATGAATTTTTATTGCAAAAAATTTTTTTACACAAAAAATAAACAAAATGACACTTTTTCACACAATAGTTTTTTAAATACATATATAAATTAGACAAAAGTTAAACATTTTGTTTTTATAGGGTATACTTAAAAGCATAATGATATCCTTTATTTCGCTTTATATTACATGACTATAAAAGGTAGAAGTTATAGATGCCTATAGATTCTCATACCGTATGTGAATAAAAAGCATGAACTGCGGTCTTGCAGGTCTTGTGACCTTGATACGTATGTACGTATATCAATAAATAAAATCTTGTGATCTTGACAAGTATATTTTTAGTAATAAACAGATTCACTTGTTATAAAAAAAAAGCTTTAAAAAAAATTATATTTTGAACTGTACGACAGCATTATTTATTATCTATTTAAGCCTTTGGTATACAAATATTTACAATCTTTCACTTTAAAAGTGTTAAATCCATAATTGCATCATTATTATTTTTCATTATAATGTGAGCAAGGTATATATTATTGGAATTAAACCTGAAAATCGAGATATATGATTATATATTCAATTTATTTGATTTTGAAATTTATAACAAAGACTATTCTTGTCGGCTGCCAGAATTCTGAATATAAATTAGACTTCACAATAACGTGTTTGTCTAAAAGTGAAAGAAGTTCAACTCATGAAATTGCTTCGAGAATTTTCTAAATTTCAATTCAATTACAACTCACTCTCGTTATAATGAACTCATCGGGCTGAGAAAAAAATCTTCACTATAGCTTATATCGAGAGAATACTATACGTATGTAGTGTAGAGTTGGGTAACGAGACCCGAAACTATATATAAAATTCCGAAACCTTTTCCGAAACTCTATACTAAAATGGTTAGAATTTTGATTTTAGACTTTAAGACATAAAGTACATGATAATTAGATTGCATTTCAGAAATGCTTTGGTTACTTTATAGTAAATGTGCATTAGTTATTAACATTCTAATTTGAAGGTACTTTATTATATCGAGTTGAAGTTTGTAATTCAAAATTCTTCGCTATATCGAATCTTCACTAAATCGAGAGTTCACTTTAATGAGAGTGAGTCGTAAGTTTATGTATCAACAAATATGCATTGAAACATTTATTACCTGTTATATTTGACTAGTAATATTGAATATGCATTGAATAAATACGTATCGTTGGTGAGTCGTTGGTGCTCGATGCATTATGTATATTTATAGTCCTCAAATAAACAAATTGTTCGTGTAACATATACGATTATCTCTAGGGCTGTTATAGTGAGTGGTCCGACTCAAATATAGGGAATTTAACTTCGATCGTACAAATAGTGATTAAGGTTAAATGGTTTAAATCGATAAACTAACACATTTACAGGTTATAAGGTTTCTCTTTATTGATATAAATAAATCCATCGGATTATCATAATAATACTAAATATTATAAACAACCGTTATTCCCTTAATAAACTGAAACTACACCCTTATATATCTTTAATTCGTATGAGGTTTTGATCCCTCGTTTAGGTTTCAATCCCTCGCTGGGTTAAAATCTCCCAACTATGCCACAAACCATACCAAAATAAAAGATACATAAAATAACGATAATAATAAAATAATTTTGAGCGTAAACACCGGTCCTGCCTTTGGGGGACAGACTGAAAAGAACGTCGGTCCTAATATCAGTTATCATTAAATCATTGTTATAGATAAATAATTGCGATATTTGATCTAATACACAACTGGTCTGAATTTGGAAACCCGAATTTCTTGTGGCGTAAATCGGGTGTAGGACAGTGTCACAATCGGTGGGTGTGCTTTGTAGGGTCTTGGACCAATTTAGCTTTGATTGTTAACAAACAATGATTATGGTTAAAGGGTTTAAATCGATAAACTAACACACATAATTACAGGTTAAAGGGTTTCTCTATTAACATAAATCAATACATCGGATTATTACAATCGTTCTAACTACTATTCTCCCATTCATAAACTGAAATACAACCTTATATGTCTTTAATTCGTATGGGGTTTTAATCCCTTGTTTGGGGTTTCAATCCCTTGCTTGGGGTTTCAATTCCCCGTCTATACCACAAACAATATCAAATAAGAAACTCATAAAATAACAATAATGATAAAATAATATAACCATAACAACTGTTAATCAGCTCGATTAAGACTGTTGGTCCTGCGACCCATCATATTATTTCGACATTCTACATATTAATCTATTAGCGTTGGAATTTAATTTGATACGTAGGGTTCTTTGTTTATGCATAATTTTTATAAAAAAAAATTCGCGCATAAATTTGATCTACATAATGTTTTCGTAAAAAATAATTAAATGCATTTGTGCATTTTAGGGATATTTGCATTTAGTGACTGTAGGTGTTACAGTAAAACTTCCATAAATGAACGCTCTTGGGACTGAATTTTAATAACGTGCATTTATAGAACAATAAGAAAAATTGCATTTATAGAGGTCACGTGAATAATTGGGCCAGAGGTTGAGCGAGCATTTATAGAGGGTGTGCATTTATATAGGTGCATTTTATGGAAGTTGAGCGTGAATTTATAGAGAGGGTGCATTTATGGAAGTTTCACTGTTTATATTAGTTGGGTCTAAGTGAAGATATGCATTTAGGAGACTTTCATATTAGGCAATGTGCATTTGTGCATTTAAGGAGATATTGCATTTAGCGAGATAAAAATCTGTAGATATTACATTATTTAGGGAGACATTCATTAAAAGTATACTTACGGGGCTGCGTTTAGCGGTCTTACTATATCCAAAAAATAAGATATAAATATGCCCTCAGAGATGCGATTATTGATTTCTTTATGATTTGATTACTTTAGTATTCAATCATTTAATATGGATTTCTACGTAGTTTTTTTTTTATTCCTATTCGCTTTTGCCGTAAATGTTCAATCTTATTTAATTCCACGAGAAGAACCGAATTCTGATGGATGCGCAAGAATTTATAATGAATTTATTACAAAGAAAAAAACCAATTTCAGTTATGCTGATGTCAACGATTGCTATAAAAGCTTTCCGTTTGATAAAGACGTTGCTTCTAAGGTATTTATATATATATATACGTATAAGTATTGTATTTGTGCATTCTGATCAGTCATATGATAATGCTAAAATTGTAGGCGATTGATACTTTAAGTGGCCTTGTTGGTGGATTTTATGTATTTTTGGATAAAGCAAAAGAACCTCCACAACCTGGGTTTGACTTTAGACCAGTAGATTTAAAAGCAGAATTAGAAAATTTTCGGACAAAATCTTATTCAACTTTATATGATTTTACAGTAAATATTTCAATTTTATTTACATTTACTATTTTATGTTTTCTGTGTATTTTTTTTACATTAATAATCTATTATATAATAGACCGACGTTAAGCATCTCTTTTATGATTTAAAAGATTCGCACACATTGTTTGGTTCATATTGCTTTACGACATTTTTTTTTCATACGAATATGACATTCTACTCTGTTGTTAACAATGGGGAACAGGTAACTCATATATTTATTATTTATCTGAATCTCGGTTGATAATGTTTTAACTCCTTTTTCTTTTAGAAAATTAAAGTCTTTGATGATACTATTGACCAATCTAATATTGATTGCGAAGTAACTCATATTGATGGTCAACAAGCATTCAAAGTAATTTATGAATTTGCCAATAATTCAGTTTATGCATCAAGAGATCTAGGTGTACGATTTAATATAGCTCTTGATCGTGCCTATAAGTTCCCATCTTTTGCTGTACGATCTGAAATACCAGAGAGGTCAGATATCACTTACACACTCAAATGTGATAATAAAAATGCATTTGATGTTAAAAGAAATTGGAATGCCTTTGCTCAAAATAGTATAATTTTAAATGAGTTTAATAATTCAAAATCCTATTTTGATAATATTTGTAATCCTACAAATGGAATCATACAAATTGGACCTTCTAGTACCGCATTTCAAGAAATTAAAGCTGCACCACCTGATGACTTTAATAAAATTGTAGAGCAGCAAGACAAAAGTATAACCACGATAAAAATTATTGATAGCTTTGTTAGCTTTTTTAAAACGCAAGACTTTGGCATTGTTAAATTTTTTACTGAAAGTCCCACTGGACCAGAAGAGCCTATAAATATGCTTACAGATATAATTCAAGGATTTAAAGAACTAGAAAATATGGGCGTTAAAAAGGTATAAATTTTATGTTTGATACCCTTTTTAATATATCCATTTATTATATTTATTCATTTTTATTTATCTATTGTATTTATTTATTCTCATTTATTTATTTATTAAGGTTGTTCTTGATTTATCTGACAACACTGGTGGACTTGTTAACATCACCTTTTTTATCAGTTTACTCTTATTTCCTAACACCCCCCCTTCCTTCGACAATGATATTCGAATTTCCGAACAAATGAGGCTTGCAATTACTGAACAATATAGACTTAAAACCCAAAATAATATTTACGATATAACAGGCTATGTTAATGCAAAAACTCTCGCTAATTTTACAAGTGCTGAAGATTTCATTGGTAATAATATTTATACACGTGGTGGTGTTAGGGATAATTATTCTAATAAATATATTAATGAGGCTAGTATTAATGCGATGAGTCAAATTATTCAAAAAGATTTAACAACCCCCCTTCCATGGAAACCTGAAGATTACATTATTTTAACTAATGGTTTATGTGGTTCATCGTGTGCCCTAATTACTGAGCATGCAGCTGAATTTAAAAACGTCTCTACTGTTGTTGTTGGTGGACTTGCATCCAATAATTTAATGTCTTATTCTTCATTTACTGGTGGTATGGTTAATAATTCAACTCAAGTATTCAATTCCTTAGGTGAATTGGGTTTATTAAATAATACTTTAATGCCTAAACCTTATCCCTTAACTGGAATGGTTTCCAGTTTTACTATGAAAGAAGTCTATAGTAAAACAAATCCTGATGAAGTATTGGACTTTGCGTTTAGACCTGCTGACTTTAGATTATTTTATGATGAAAAAAATATTAGAAATGTTTCTATTTTATGGTCTCAAGCTGCTGCTTTAATTGGTTCAAAAAGTAAAAATTAATTAAATTATACTGTATTTTATTATTTCTGTTTACTTTATTCTTTTATTATTAATATTTAAAAAACCATTTAATTTGAATTATTAATTTTTTTTAAAAAAAATTCTTGTAATTTTAACTACAATTGTTATATTTAATTAAATCTAATTAAATTTACAACTAAGCTAATATTATACATTTTTATCTGTATTTGGCGAGTGTTCTTGATCGCTAAATTTTAAACATAGTAGATTTAAACTACAACATTAAGCAAACTCGCGCGATACATAAAATTTGTACAAACACATATGTTGTACCCTGGATTGGAATTATCCCAATTCAGAATCATGATGAGAATTTTGTAATTTTGCCATCATTATGCTAACTAAAAACTAAAAAATTTTATTATAAACTCTAATTCTAACCCTAAAGTTCTAAAGTCCTAATTCTGCCAAAATAATTTGTAAAATTCCCATCCGGGGTAGCCTAATTCTGAGTCCAATCTGGGGTACGACTAGAGATGGGTTTCATGCGTGTGCATGATTCCTCAATCGTGCGCATTAATGCGCATTTTATCCCATCTAAATTTTAT